CTCATAATAATATGACTTTATTCTCATAATGTTATGACTTTAATTTCATAATATTGTGACTTTAATCTCATAATAATATGACTTTATTCTCATAATGTTATGACTTTAATTTCATAATATTGTGACTTTAATCTCATAATAATATGACTTTATTCTCATAATGTTATGACTTTAATTTCATAATATTGTGACTTTAATCTCATAATAATATGACTTTATTCTCATAATGTTATGACTTTAATTTCATAATATTGTGACTTTAATCTCATAATATCATGACTTTAATCTCATAATATTATGACTTCAATCTCATAGTATTGCAACTTTATTCTCATAATATTTTGACTTTAATCTCTTAATAATACGACTTTATTCTCATAATATGACTTTAATCTCGTAATATTACGACTTTAATCTCATAATTTTATGACATTAATCTCGTAATATTAGGACTACTTTGTAAAATATGGTGAGTAGACCTTTGGTATTTCTTTAAACTGAAGCGGTTTTGTTGTGACTTTAAAAAATCTGGATGTTTACATCATTTTAGAGCATTTTTGTATTTGTAACAGCGCTGTTTTCTTTCTGCCGCTCAGCTTCATGTCACAATCAGTAAGACGTCGGTGAAGGTGGTGTTGGACTGTTCTGTGGTGGGAGAGAAACCAATCAGGGCCTCTGGGAACATCACCACAGACGGAGTGGAGGTCCTCGGACGAATGGTTCAATCCCGAGGCAAACGAGACAGCACTGCGCCCGTCAGTATTAAATTATTGTTGTTTTTGCATCGACATCGAGCCCCGATAAGTATTATTTCAGTTAAATTCATTTTATTTATAAAGTACCCACTTACAGAACACTACCAGTCAAAAGACTGGACACACCCTCCTGTTTTTTTCTCTTTTTCCTGCATTGTAAATCAGCATAGAAGTCATCCAGACAATGAAGGAACACACGTTTTAAGTAACCATGTTGCAAACCCAAAAGCGTCAAACAAACCAAAATGTGCCCCAGATTCTAGACCACTCAAAGCCCGCACCCCTCGCTCTGGCCATAGACATGCACGCTTTTAGCATTCTTTTTCCACAGTGTAGGGATAAAGAAAACAAAAAACATTGAAAGAGAAAGTGTGTCCAAGCTTTTGACTGGTTGTGAGTATAAAATAAACCATCTAGTGCTGCTAATGTTAGGATGAAAAACACACGAAACTTAAATAAAATCCATGTTATTGTTACTGAGTTGTTGGGATCGATTTTATTATTATTAGTGGCTAATATTTAGTAAAATAAAAATAAAAATAAAAAAACATGCATGCTGTTGCCCCTGCATCACATGTGCATATATTACTCATATGATGTTTGGGTCAAATGAGCATAAACACAAGTAAACATTAGAAAAGAAAAACAAGATTTTACTCTAAACCTGTCCCTGAACAGCGTATGTACAGTTCGTGTTTGCAGTTAAACAGTTGTTCCCAGTAAAATGGAAATACTAAAAGCCTTTAAAAGCGAGTCACTTGGTGGGAGTTTGTTTAATTAATTCCAAATTAAAATTGACAAAAGGCCACATACATGCATAAAATCTGTCCTGTTTGGCAAACACAGGCAGGCAAGACTGCAGATCATCCTGAGCTGCCAAGAATACTGAGTGAGAAGTATCATTTGGATTGTACTTCAAACGTGCTGAAAATATAATTACCTGATTTAAAATTTGTGTTTGAATGTTTTTACAGAAGTAAAGCTAATATGTTATTAGTTTTTTTCTCATTGTATTGTCCTGTATTGGACAAGTAAAAAAGAACCTCTTTTTGTTTGATGTATTCTTTAAA